ATTATTGTAGGGAAACAAAGTAGAAGGCATGAACTAAAGCACACCAAGAAATAAAAGATACACTCACAAAACCATTAATTAAAAAGAATATCATAAAATTCTATCTCAAAACAAGTTGTGCTGATTGGTGCAATGTCAAATCAAGATAAACCTCATTTAAGTCATTTCATGCACACCTGAAGATACAGTTTTGTCTGAGAATAAATGCCAAAAAAGAGTGAGCCTTCGACAGCCATCCCAATAAAAGATGATGTTGCTCCTCTATAAAGTCCTTTGATCTGAAAGAGTTATTACAAAATTACATATGGAAGTCTCAAACCAATCCCCTCAAAATCTCTACTTAAAACTAAAAAGAAAACAAAGCATTACATATATTGTTAGAGATATTAAAATCATTTATAGACTCTTGGAGTTTTGGACATGCGACTTCTGATTTTATAGAATAAGTGAAGTTAAGCCTAGCTAAACTTTTACAAATAATTAACCAAATATGTCATAGTCACAAGGTTCTGTGAAATATAATCTCAAGTTCAGACATGACATCCCTTCTTCTCTAGGAAGATAGTTCTCAAAGCAATTTATTTTGTCCCTATAATAAGACTCTAGAAATAGAAGATAAACCTTAGATGGACAGATAACTTCATTACTTATCAGATGATGTGATGTCTCATAATTGATAGAATGTTCAATGTAAATTACCGGACAAAAAGTAATGGCCCCACTACATGCTTATATTGTGATATACTACGATTGACCAGACTTAGATCTTTTATACACAAGAAAGCTTATACACCAGCATAGATACAAATTAGAATTTATCTAATATATCAAATTCCTATGTGGAATTTGAATGAAAAACCCAATTTCATCCTTTGAAAGTTAAAGATCAATAGCCATACTCCTTCAGTCTTCAATATCCTAGCAGTGCAATGCAATCCGCTTCTATAATGAATCATATGTGCTTCTGTATTGTGCTTTTGCAGCTTCACCTGATAAATAGGGAAAAAATAGTTTACGGATGGGCTAAAATTTTGAAAGTAGATAACAATTAAAACATAACATAATAAAAAAATCATCATGGAGTCACCAACAAACATGCAAGGAAGAATCTAAAATAGATATAAATGAGTATGATGGATAAAGATACTGTAGAAGACTGTGGACCTAAAGAAAATAGGAAAAAAAAAAAGACCAATTCCTCTCTGCAACTGAAGAACCATGATATAGAAAAAAATGTTCAAAACTTGGTATGCTTATGTTCTCTAATGCATAAATTTAAAATTTCAGAAATTTCTCATCTTTTCTTAGCTTAGTAATATTATCCCCCTTCCAAAATGCAACATATGAGAAGTCTTAATGTTAAGGAACTGTAAATCTTTGTAAACCAGGATCATATTCTCTAGTGCATAAACATGATACTGCTGATCAAATGACTCTATGCATAACATTAATGTAAATTATAATTATATATGTTTTAGCACCATTCCCTGTTCAGCAACAAGTCATATTATTTTCCTATAATCCTATTCTTGCTTATATTCCACATATTATTTAATCATGATAATTTTTTCAGACAACTTTAGACTCCAATGTTTCTGCTCTGCATGTTTATCAATTTATGCTACAAACCACAGAAAGGGATACCCTTTCATCATAATTGCATTTAGAAAAGCTTGATTCTATGCCTGAGGGCTTTTCAAGCTTTCTTCAGGGCTTTGGGATAATGATCTTATTTGAAAGTTCATGGGTGCCCCCCCCATGGAGAACCTGTCATTATCTATAACAAAAGCAAACAACTTGATAAGGAAAGCAGTCAACAACATCGCACGTGCCAAGTGATGAGAAAATTATTATCATTTTCTTCCTAGATCACTTAAAAATAATAAAATTCTTAAATTTTCCAACAAAAAGAGAATTCTAAAATTTGCTATTATTTTCTCCATTATTTGTTATGAGGGTGAGCCTTAGCTCAATGGTAAGGCTTCCTTGTGACCTGGAGGTCACAGGTTCAAATCTTGGAAACAGCCACTTTGCTTATGAGAATAAGTTAGCGTACATCTACCCTCCCAAAGCCCACTAGTTGTGAATCTTGAGCACTGGGTCACTAATGGACCAAGTTCTGAATAGGCAGTAATAATTCTGTGTTAGGATGTTATTAAGCAGTATATTAACAATTTTAATGATATATATAGGCTGTGTGACAGACTTGTTGAAGACAATTAAGGTGTCAGACTGTTATTTATGGTGTTTTGAAGCAAGAAACTCCTTGTTAGGAGGAAACCCTAAATTTATTAGGAGAAACCTTGTGTTTGATGTTTGTGGTCAGATCCGACCCAAAAACCAGATTATTTCTACAATTTATTCAGACTTCAGTGCATTTATTCCTTGAGTCTAATAGCCACCCATTTTTTCTCCATTTATTTGTTATCATAGTCATACTAATTATACATGCTTGAATTATTTGGAAAGGTTAACCATAAAGCACTGACATGAATTAAACAAGCAAATCAGTAATACTTTAAAAGCCCTGAATCATCATATCATCCCTATATTGCGTATAAGTTAAGATCTATTATATCATCCTATGCACAAACCAGCAATTCTCAAAAAAGACAAGAACACTAGAACTTAGTCATTAAGCTAGTTTAAGTAATACGTAGAAGCTCAACACAATCCAACACAGTGCTTGTTTTTATACAATCTCAGAAGAGCTTCTGAAAGGTTTTTTCTACCCAAAAATAAAAACTAAGCTTGTATTCAAACACGTTGATACTATACCCACTTTACACACAGTAGAATGAACAAATGTTTAGCTGCTCAATCAACCATGAAAATGACAAACAAAACTATACAACAGTAACCACATTAGGTGTCAGGTCAGTAAAAACATAAATGAAAATGAAGCCATTGAAAATTCAATTTATACACTTGCTCAGAACAATGGAGGGTTGAAACTTGAAATTAGTTCACCCCATTTTGAAGTGCCCTAAACAAGCACAGGGCATAACAACGTAAAAACAATTACTATGAAATAAAGCAATGGGGTGCATAAAAGTTGAACCTTGACGGTGTCAAAGGGGTGGCCAGTGGCTACAGCGGCAACACCGGCGAGCAAGCCAGCCACATACTCCTTGTACCCTGAAGATGAAATCTCCGCCGCCATGCCTAGGATTGGAGTAATCAGCTACATACGAACTACGTTGTTACTGTTTGTAACAAGTGTGTGTGCCCGCGCGCGTGTCTCCACGAGCGAATCCTTGACCGCCAGAGTGTGTGAGCGTTAACGCCGCGGTCGCCGGAAACACTGACAAGGTTACTGAATTAATGTCTCAGAGAAACACCGATGGTGGCCCTCTGGCAAAAATAAAACTTATTATTGGGATAAGAACGATTTTATTTTTTTAGAAAAATATATATATATATTTGTTTTTGGATAACTCCTAGGGATGTACTTTGATGACTTGTTTGGTTTACTAAAGATAAAAATAAAAAGTAAAAATAAGATGATTGAATAATTGTTATGTAGAAGAAAAAGAAATAAATGAACGAATCTAATATATTTAATTTAAGGTTTAATTGTGTTTTTAATATTTTTGATTTGATTAATTCTCTTTTAGGTATTAAAATTTAAAATTTATGGTTTTAGGTTTTTAAAATATTAAAAATTAATATTGTGGTGTCTTAAATTTAAATTTTATTTTTTAATTTTTGTAACTTAAAAATATTATTTTAAATTTTTTTGTTTTTTAAATTTAAAATATGTGTTTTTAACTATAAATATATAAAAAAATTATTTTAATTTCCTGCTCAAATGTCATTAGTAATTTTTTAAACATAATTATTATACTAATGTTATTATTAGTGAAAATATCATATTAAAACAATTGATACAAAATTGTTTTAATCTATCATTAATAATTATGTTATTAGTAATTTTAAGAGTCTAAAATAATATTTTTTAAAATTATAGAAATTAAAAAATAAAGTTTAAATTTGAGAAATTAAAATAATAATTTTTATATTTTAAAAATTAAAATACATATTT